GCATTGTCGAAAATATTTTAGTTGGCTAGAGAATGTCCGAATATGCCCTCCATTAAATTTTCAAAGTGATCCGTTGTCTGGTTCACCAGAAACGTCTAATGTGCCATCCACCGTGAATCAGCCTGTATTTGAAGCAGCAATTTGTCATTTCTCGACGGTTCCGATCTATCGGAATTGGTGCTCTACGACTTCAAAATGGTGCAAGATTATTTTTTTAAATTCAATAGATAGAAATGAGAACGAAACAGTGAATATTTTCCCTCCTGTAGACGCCCTTTGACCATTTTGGTTGCGCAGATCATAGTGATCCGGCTTTTGAAACCTTTCACAGAAAGCTTCTAAGCGGTGATTAGGTTGAATTAATGCATGTGCTTATTAATATTCTCAGGCTCATGTATCTGCTTTCGAATAGTTCACCCTAATTGTAATAACACCAAGGGTTATCCCCTAGCTCACTCGTTCACTCAATACGTTTTGTGCTACAGGTAGCGAAAACAAATTTGGATTGATACCAGATTAGATTTAAATTCGTGAAAAAGTACTACTATACTGAATAGTACTTTTATTTGGAACTGTGTAAAATTACAATGTCAGCTATATTATTTTCCCTAGCGTTGCATTTTTACTTATATAATTTTCTTTCCTTCCAGGCTTGGCGACCTGCAAGACTTTCGGTGGAAGAAACCCCTGGCTGGTCAACCAAAGAGGAGCCGCAATCACTCTCAGATATCAAAATCAAAAGGAGGCGTCTGCGAAAACGAAAAAGGAAACCACCACTAGTAGAGGATGGCGATCCTTACCCAGAGATACCACCCAGAAGAAAAGTACGTCCACATGTATTGGAGGATATGCGAGAACTATGGAAGGAAATGGAGGAAGACGCAATCAGCAAGCCGAACGTGAGAAGGAGAGTAACGCCGGTATACCAGCCTTCGAAAGAAAGCGAAGAAAAAACTGATTGGCATGTTGGTGCAGAAAATAGAAATCAAGCAAATGAAGTACTGAAGAAACCGACTGAACCAGAAAATACCCAATCATCAAAACCTCCGCTAAACACAATATCCGATCTAAAGAAATTGCTGAAGAAGACAGGCGGAAACATCAGCCTTAGCGAGCTACTGCAGCAGAAAAATCTATCGCTGGCCGAACTCCTGAGCGGAAATGAAAAAGCGATATCCGTGTTAACGGAGCCACCACCACAAGCCATTGAGTCTGCCCAAATGCCAACAGAGCCCGAGCAGATCCACAAATACAAGAGGCTACCACCCTCTATAGCGCTGAAGAAAACTACAGATCGAAACTATGAAGTCGAAGCAGACTCAGTGGAGTCGCTCACTGCCAAAGAATTAATGGAGGCTCAGAGAAAACGCCTTGCCATACTTGGTGCCAAAGAAAGTAAACTGTATTCTACTGTTGCTCAATTTGACGTGTTCACAGAAGCTACGACTGAGAGAAGAATCTTCGTTCCAGCTCATCCCAAATACTACACCTCCATGAACTTCAAACCTGACTTTCTTTCAGACCTTATGCCTTTCGAGAAATCTGCTAGCACGACCTCAACCACTACGAGTACAGTCTCTCCTAGTACAGCAGAAACGATAGAAGCTGAGGAGGCAGCTGTGAAGAAAAAGGGCGCATTGCCTACCACGAACGCTAAACTGAAACAAACGACGAAGAAATTGAAAGAGGAGGGTTATCCCTTCCCTTTCGAATTTCCGAAGCCCTCGAAAATAAGCCTGAACGAAATCATTGGTTTGAACTACGAAGGTGACGATAGTGAAGACGGTGGAGAGCCTTTGCGGATGCCAATAGACATAAAAACTAGCATCGACACTAACAAGGAACAGGTTAGTGTAACAACTGAAATACATAGGGAAAACGTGACTCTTGTAACCGCTAGAGAGGAAATTATGGAAATAATGAAAGACCCCACCGCTAGAGACTCTCTGTCCCGTATCTTGGAGATCAGAAATATGACACTGCAAGAGTTGGTAGAGCAGAGGGAGCGCGGTTCTAGCCAGCTTCACTTAGCGGATATTTTCCACAACAATACCAGGGAGCCGGAACCCAAAGAAGAGCCCCTGATCGGACAAATCAATCCAGAGTATTTTGACGTGTTCAAATCGTACGAAAGGAAGCAGAAGAGTCTGGATGTGAGGAAAGAGGAGAATGAAGGAAATCATATTTATACTACGATTGGGAAAACTGTAGAAGCAGTAACTGGGAAGACTGTGGAAGCAGTAACTGGGAAGACTGTAGAAGCAGTAACTGGGAAGACTGTAGAAGCAGTAACTGGAAAGACTGTAGAAGTTGTAACTGCCAAACTGGAAAAAATGACAATCAAATCGACGGAACTGTATCCTGAGGTGGAACAGGAAAGTTCTGGAAATTCGATCACTTTCCCTTGGAAGCAGCTGTATCCAGATATATTCTCAGAATCTCTGGAAAGCGAGAGAGATTTTATAGACCCTAGAAAAAAATTTATAGATGAAAACAGCAAACGTGTGGAGAATAGCGACATCGACTATATTTCTACTATAAATGAAATATACGACGCGGATGATAACATCTTCATGAACATTCCTTCCGGTGTGAAATCCGCACTTTTCGTCAGTTTAGCCATAATAGGGCTATCTCTGATCGTCTTCATCGCCATCTTGGTGATACTCAGGTGTTTACAAAGAAAAACACGTGCAGCAAACTACTGCAGCAGCTTATCTTCGAGAATGAGGTCGCCGATGATTCTCCAAGGTCGTAGTACGGCAGCTATCAAGTCTTTCATGAATGAAACGTTGGGCAGAAAGAATAATTACGTTAGATCCAGTATGAAGAGTGTGTCTGATAACATTTGGGTTGTCGGCAAAGAAAGAAAAGACTCGTTTTGATGGTTAAATGGCGTTATGTGACTGTTGGTTATTTATTGTTGTTATTTATGTGATCGCAAGTGCAATATTTTTAGGTCTAAGATACTTAAGCTCCACTCCTAGTCGATATGCGGATGTATCGAAAATGGTAAAAAACCAGTTTCCCGATTATCAAATTGTAAAAGTTAGATTTTGGAATTGACTATCATCCAAGGAGTGTAGGTTTGTCTATTTCAATTGGTATTGTATTCCTGGATTTCTTTTTCAATCAAATACCAAATAGCTCAACACTATTTATACAATTTTCTGGTATTGTGAAATGTTTTTCTACTCATTTTATTTATTATAGGAATTAAAAAAAAAATTAAGCAAATTATTGTGTCCTGAAATAAAAATGAGTGGAACACAATAAGTGGAATGTTGAAAAAGTGAAAAAACAGAGAGAAAATAATTTCGAACCAAGTTATTTCTCACCGTTCTTTATGAGATCCTCAAAAAACTCAATTCACGAAAATTAAAAGAAAACGGGTTTCTCGAAAATAAATCTGTTGTAAAGCCAAACTTTTCGAGGTCGACTTTCGAATGAGAGTTGGTTTCTGTCTTTTCCTACAAGAGGTGAGTTGTTGCATTCGAATCCATTTTTTTCAAATTTTGATAGATGATAGATGTGAAACCCATAACGTTCTTAAATCCGTGATTAATTCTTCCGGTGCCAAAAGTCAAGATTTGTACGTAATTAATTTGGATTACAACTGACATTTACAAAACAGGAAAAATTGAAGATATTCTTTATCTTCACCTAAATCAGAACTTAAATTATTTTGAAAAAAAATCATTTGACCTATCACCACTTCCTTGTGCAATAAGCAATAGCAAAAATTGAAGAAATTCTTTATCTTCACCTAAATCAGAACTTAAATTATTTTGAAAAAAAATCATTTGACCTATCACCACTTCCTTGTGCAATAAACAATTTTTGATTATGCTGTCAGTTGTCAACTATGTGAAATTTTACGATACGTTTTGTTTATCAAATGACATCATGGCCTTATTGAACGATTACTGTTGAATTTCAAAACTCATCTCAACTGGTAACTAGAAAATACCAAAACCCAAAGCCCCGTTGAGCCGTTTTCGATTTGAGTTTGCGTAGCCCACTAGTCGAACTGATGAAGCTACCGTGTGGCGAAACGCGTGAACATTGTGTAATTATTATCATGGATATTCATAAAATATATTCGTAGGATAAACAGCAACACCATCAAACATAAGTTGTCACGATCAACTAGATCAACCGGTATTTGTAGACTATTAGGTACATGAAGAAGAAGAAGAAGAGGAAGATAATGAAGAATAAAAAGCACCTGTATTCGTGGACAGTGAACATGCGCATTAATAACTTTTTCTCAGTAATAGTCCTAAAAATTGAAATCAGGGAACATTCAAGGTCACGAGTTAAGGATAAAGACAGGGACAGAGACAAAAAGTTTTATAGATAATTTTATAGAAACATCAAGATAGAAACAAAGAGTCAAAGAGTATGATGCCTGAATTGGACCTAAAAGTGAAAGTCAGAATCTGCAGATTTTGTAAAATATTATCAATAAAAAACTGATTTTGAACAACCGAGTCTTTTAATGAAAAATAGCTTTAATTCAAGAAACTCATTAAAGAGTAACAAAGAGGCATTTTCAATTTGAAGTCAAAATTTATAATAATCAAGATTCACAGTTTATCAGTTGTGAAAACATCTGTAGAAGAAAATTTCTGTGAAGTTAGTAAAGCCACTTGAAGTAAAAATAATGAAATATAATTTTTATTTGTATTACCTCACAAATTAGTGTGACATAGAAATATTTGAGTTTCATTGTGACAAAATTTATCGAATAACTTTCAAGAATTTGTCGATAATGAAAAATAATTGTTGTCCCCTTCCTTTTTGGAGGAGGAGTTCTGCTGACTTGATATTCAAGTTAGCCCTAGTGGAATTCTTAATAAAACTACAAATGTTGTAATATGTTATCAATATCTAAAAATTATTGCTTTTTTCGTGTTGTTATAATTTGTAATCGTGTTGTAATTTCCATTCTGAATTCAGTTTGAATAATTTATGTCAAATAACAAAACTGCAATAACAAATACAAAATATAGAAAGTTTCAATTCTCATTTTTCATGAGTCATTAATGTACTACAGAAAACACCAGCGTTGATGGTAAAGGTATCTGATTGAAAACCATTGATGGCTGCTTGTGATGAAAGGTCTTTGTTAAATTAGAAGGTTCCAAAACAAAAATGATTTGGCAACAAGTTTAATCAATGGATCCCCAAACCAGAGACGGTTGAAGGTCTTAGAATGTCAAAATAATGTTTGTCTGAAAACAATTTTAAGGATACTTAGTATGTGTTGTAATTGAAAGATATTGCAATTAAATTGTTTATTTTCGTGAAATACAAACTATAATTTAAATCCTGAAATCAGTATAGTTTTTTGCCATTCCGAAGCTTATAATTATTGAAAATGAGTCTACCTAAAAGACCATCGAAGTAAGGATTAGTTGAGAATTTTATATGATATAAGTTGATATGAAAGAAAAACCGTTCTTAAAGTAATGTCTTAAGGTAAGAGAGTTTAGGATGCCATACAACGTGTAATATATGAAAAAGTACTGTTATTACATTTCACTCAAAAAAAAAATTCCCTTTCAATGAATGAAGTCATTGCGGCGAAGTCATCTCTTTCAGTGACATCTTCGAAATTTATCCATAAAAATAAAGCGTTGGAGACTAGTGTTTCCACCCAACACTTGGAGGTTGTGAGTAAATTTTTATGAGAGATGAAGGTTGTGACTTTTCACTCCCTCACCTCCATTCTAAAAAATGTGGGAAACTCGTATAATTCAATGTTCATATAGAAGAAGTTGTTTCAAGGGACATTTTCTTTTTTCCTTTCTCCTTCTTACCTAAAAATAACTTCTATACAAATTGCCAAAAACGACTCTTCCTCGATAGTTAGACTTAACAGATTGTATCTGGTCTGGATTCCTGGCCATACTGACCTGGAAGGCAATGAGGCTGTTGACCTCCTTGCAAAGGAGGGTGCTGCAAGCAGCTTCATTGGACCAGAACCTGTCATTGGCATCGGCAGAGTACGACTTACCATACAAACTAATCGGCTTCGTTAAGAAGCGTCATTTGGCCGAGTGTGAATAGGTGTGAGCCACAAACTTTTGCGGGTTGCGGTGGAGGGTCGAATAGACCCACTCACTTTGGACCTAGCCTAACCTAACTTCCATACATGATCTACACAACTTTATTAAGAGTTTATTCTGAAAAATTTTTCTTCATTTTGTTATCTTTTTAATACATCTGTCGCAAAAGAAGATAAATAAATTCGAAATGATATCGTATTGGAACATTATTGTTCAAATATGATGAGCAGAAATAAATAAATTACAACCAGAACACTCCCAGAAATTGATGAAGATGTCACAATTTTGTAAAAAGACTTTGATTTTTTTAAAATTGCAGTTGAAATCATAGTCCAAAAACAAGCAGTTGTGAACAGACAGCACTGTTTTGGCATGTGGCTGCTCTAGCCTGATCTATGAACGAATGCATTCTATTCATTGCACAAGTAAGCATAATCATCCTGATCTATGTAGACAATCTTGAGAGCTTTGTTGAGAGCTTCGTAACTAAAGATGTCTATGCTCACGTATGATATGTATTATATCTACACTACAGTATTTCATGAAATCTGACTTACCAGTACTCCACATAGGTGAATTTCTCCCGCATGAATCTACTTATGGGATCTTCCGAAGTGTGGAACAGTTTGTGAAAATAAGCGTACTGTCTTGCGATACACTTGGTTTGTTTCAAAGCTATTTCCAAAGTTGGACTGCCTTTCAACTCCTCCAGCTCATCTACATTGAAATACAAAACCGTAGTATAATCCCTCGGCAAAATATCGATATACGGCCCCCAAAACGATTCTTTCTTGAACTTCTCGAAGAGCAAGAAGATAGCGAGAGTGACATTGGGCATGTTATTCAGTATTTGATCTTTTTTTACTAGACCTTTCAGTTCGTTTTCGCTGGCCAGTTCCGCGGTCATCATAAGCTTTCTCGGGACAGTTATTACGAGACTTGATATGGGGATTTGCATGTTTACTTCGAGCCCCAACTCGAAGCCTTCGATTTCTTTGATGTCACATCCTTTGAAATCCGCGCCGTTTTCTCGTATCCAGTTCGTGAATCTCTCGATGGTGACAGCACTTGTCCGGTTACCGACCGAGACTTCATTCTGATGCTTTTTATTTGCTTCCAGTAATTTTATTTTATCAGTGATTGCGTTAATTTCTCTTTGGTTTTCCAAGGCTTTCGCTAGGTTAACATGTTGGGGTAAAGTACTAAGCCTAAGTAACTTATCTACGTAGGCGGCTATTTCCTTGTCTTCCTTCTTAATATTTTTTTCATTCCTCGAGGCGACTGTGTTCCTTGACCTTTGAACTTGTCCTTTTCGCCCCATTGTTCACTATCATTCGGGTATTGGTGATAAAGGTATTTACCGTGTAAATTATATGTTATTCATTGATTTATAGCACGTGATTTCACTAACACCAAACACTACATGCTCCTATTCTCGTATTACATTTGAGGTTTTATTTATAAATATGAATTAGTGTCTGTTGTGGTCGTCGATGGTAGGGGCGATGTTTGGCTTCCGGACAATAGATGGCGCGATGAGTTCGAAACTGCTGTTTATTTTTCATTAAATAAATACTCCAGTCAAATTGGTAATTCTTATGTTAGGGGTATTGGGGTATTATATTCATATATAAACTAAATGGTTTAGATTTATGATTTGACAAAAATTATACTTCGAAGATTTACTGATCGTAGTCTCAAAATTAATATAAGACAGGGAAATTGATTATATCTCCCGAAATAGGTGAAATTTCTTTCAGTTACACATATATCATCAGTTTGTGCCACCAAAATAAGACCAAATAATGAAATCAAAACAATATAGATACCTACTACTCTGATCAACCTAAGAAAGTTTCTATAGAAAAGATTCATCAGCACCTAATGATTCTGCAAAAACATATCTATCAGATATTTGTCAGATATCTGACAGATTAAATATTCTAGTATGGAGAACATTGGGCAGAGTCATTCCCAATTTGAAGATAAGCACTTAAAACTGCTGAACAGACTGATATGTCATCAATTGCCGAATTTGAAATTAGATTTACATTTGTACAGCCATTTATTTAATATGTACGGAGTGCAACTATCGTCTGAACAAGATATCTCTGATTAAACTGTTTTGTTTTTCACTATCAAAAGAAAAAAATGCTGAAATAAACCATGTGTTGTATTATGTACTATATTAATGATGAATTTGAAGTGATTCATTGCTCCAAGTGTAATTTTGTTTCAATTTAGAAAGTATCGTTTTTGGGTCGTTTCCTATAATTTGAGGTTGAGAAAATGTTGCTCAAATTGGCTTGATGCTTCACTAGATCAGGTATCAAATATCATGGGAATACCTTATTGATGTAATATAATTTCAAATAATAACGTGTTCAATGGTAGAATGGTACACAAAATGATTTTGCAAGAGAGAAGTCAATAATTATTGCAAATCATTAGTTTATTCATGTTTTAATTTATGTTTATTACTAATAATGATGAAGCCACCGCTGTGATTGATACACAATCGGGAGTTTATTGAACACCATCATGAAATATTAATTGCGTTTTTATAAAAATGTTTTATTTGATGTTCAAGGCCTTCAAAAGCATCCTGTACGGTAATGGCCCCATATTAGTTCTCTGGGTAGGTACTTTCAACGCAAGCAGAAAGATAAATTCAACAACACTCCACAAACCACCATTTCATTCAGTTCTTATAAACCCAAATGGATCCTAACGAAATGGAAAGCTGCAAATAATTGAAAGTGAGTTGTGTAAAAGCCATAAACTGGCAGACTCCGGGTCCATCATCAACTTGTTGGCATGCGTCAATTGTAGCGCTAAAATCTGAAACTGGGAATCTGTCGGATCCCAGTTTGCAATTTAACACGGCCTTGCGAACTCAAATTCCGCTGTCCGGAGTTTCTTTCGCGGTGAACTCCGTGTTCCCGGATCAAGTACAATCGAGTTCACTTGCCCGAGTCGTAGAAATGTTGCGTTTGTGGAAAATATCGAATAATGACTCAAAAATATGTTGGAAATGTAGCCCGTGTCATAGTTGATTGGTGAACTTTTTCTTTGAAACCAGAGTTGAACTTGGGGAGACATGCATAAAATACTTCATAAGTTGTTTGTTCTTTTGATTATCTTGATTGGTAAGTGGAGAGATTTTTCATAAACTGATCAATTTCTTGTAAATATGATATGAAACATAAATTTGATGATCAAAATGAATTATTGGAACCCTACCCTCCTCCAAATTGAAAATGGAATATATTTTCAGAAGAGATTAGTTTTTGGCTTTCAACTTCTCCATCATTGTACAGAAAATGGAAAACTCCCTAAGAAGGAGTTTTCTCCACAACTCTCCACAAAGATGAATGGATCATGCACAGATCCAAACTGAAAAAAATCCATCTGGAACAATTACTACGTAGGCACACTCTTTTTCGAACTAATGAAGGCATTTAATTTGACTCGATAGATACAAATGTTATCCTATCAAAATTGAAAAGAATTGGATTCTGTGGCGATTTTTTGCCATAGCTGTCCTTATAACTGAAATTTATTATTTTTCTCTAGAAGAAATTAAGCTAGGGCTCCATATTGGGTCCCTCGATTTTTTTTTGCTATATAAGTGACATGTTATGTCACGTAAGTTATATTAATATCAGTGCATACTCTGTTTCCTGATAGTGAAAAGTAATAAATGCTCATTTCAAGTGCAAGATGTTAAGAGAGTGCTCAAACAAATTTTTTAAATTTTTGATTCGCCACAGCTGGCAAAGGCAGTTTTATAACACTTTACTAGGTGCACCAAATTTTTGCGTTTGAAAAGGGTGGCAAACAAATAATTTTATGAGCTTTTGGGTTGTTTTATTACCTACAGAGGCGTGCGTTTAGGTATTCGATAAAAAATACTTGTTAAAACTGATAAATATGTTCATTTCACATGATAATAAATATGTATGCTTATTCAGGAAGATACTGAGCAGGTTCACTATCGTGATGCAAAAGCCATGAACCGCTTTTCCACAATACCGGACGTCTTCTTCGTATTGCTTCTCTCAAGCTGCGCATAACTTTAAGATAATACTCTTTATTGACCATGTCACAAATACTTCTGATGCACTATGCCACGGCAATCGAAGAAAACAGTGAGTAACATCTCGACATTTGGCGAACTGTTTTATGGTCTTGGCTTCCGTGAGCTCTTCCATTGAGGCGATTGGACTTTGGTTTCGATGTCATAACCATATACCTTTGATTCGTTAACAATTATGACCCATTCAAGCAAATTTGGATCGCCGTTGACGTCATTCAACAATTTCTGAGTGATGCTCATGCTACTGTTACGTTTTTACCCGTGGGTTCACCAATAACTGACTACACTGAATAGTCAAACTTAAATTTATTTCACTTTAAATACAACAAACACCTCAACTAAAAATGTCAACTATTATTTTAATGTCTATCGTTACTAAATCACTTCGCGTACCGCACTGTAACGTCCACTGTCTGAATGTCTATCGCCTCACCTGATCACTTCGCGTATCGCACTGTATCTTCCACTTCACTGTGTACTAGACTGCCCGAATACCCCCCATTCCCCCCCCGGGTTGAGTGCCCTGAAGTAAAAGCTTCGCCCCACAACTAATTTGCGAGGAAAACCTAATACTCCACTCCATCTACCCCCGCTGTCGGAGCGGTCCTCAACTTACTGATGGGCACTTCAGCAAGATTGACATCTGACCTCTTCTGGTCGAAAGTCAGCCTTCAGGTGCTTATACTTTCTGATCGGTCATTTGACTGCCCGAATACGCTTGCAGCCAGCGTTTAAATATCGCAATGGAACATCGTAGAACTTTCGCCGAAGTTCCATCGACATCGGTAGCATGTTTCTTGCGCTATCTCGAGCGGCAGGTAACATTGGACATTCCCACGCTATCAGCTACGTCACGTTTGGTTTATGGTTATCAGTGGCGGCTGGCGTTATTTCCTTTCTGGCATGATTTTCAACACTACTTTTTTTGTAAAAATTCAGCAATTTTTTAACGAACTTCTCTGACACACGCTTCATGCCCAAAATTGAAAAAAAGCATGGCATAAAGCAAGTGATATGGCGACTTCAGCAACTTCTTTTATAATTATTCGACAATTCCCCACAACAATTTTCTTCACTTTCTCAACATTTTCATCGGTTGTTGATGTGTTGGGGTATTCAGGGCGAACGTCGTCTTTAACATATTTTCAAGCTTCTGTGAAAAGCTTGAACCACTTGTAAACAAACACCTCTTGGATTGAAGGACTCAGTGTTTAACTCTTAGGCATACATCTAGATGATAATTTGAACAACTTAGCATTAAACTGTTGAAATATACATTTCTTCTTCGGAAATTGAAAAAAATAATCTCTCAACAGGCGCTATTATCACCTTACTACACTTTTTTCCATTCTCACATCTCATATGGAACAATTCTCTGGGGAAATAGACTAACGCAAATAGGATATTTATGTTACAAAAAAGGCCATAAAGGTTATTTTCTGGGGCTGATTTCTTAGACTCCTGTAGACCTCATTTCCTTTCGATGAAAATAATGACAGTAACTTCTATTTATCTGTATCAACTTTTGATAGATATTCATAAAAATGAATCAACATTAAACATAAATTGTGATTTCCACGATCATGAGACTAGACGATGTGATTTGTTGAGGGCCAGTAGATTCAGACTGAAAAAGTCAAGCAGAAACTCTATCGATGTCAACTTATACAATATTTTACCTCCCCATGTCAAAAAGTTAAATCAATACTTGCTCAAAAAGTATTTGAAATATGTATTGATATCAAATTGTGTTTATTCTACTGACGAGTATATAGCTGTCTTATCCACAGAAACACAAATAAACGGCGAAACAGTATAATATTCATTCTTGGGTAATAATATGTATGTGTGTATATGTGACTCATCTTATTTGTATCTCAAAAGATCAATAAATTATCTTATCTATCTTATCTATCTTATCTTATCTTATCTTATCTTATCTTATCTTATCTTATCTTATCTTATCTTATCTTATCTTACTACCAATCATAGGGATAAACTATATTTCAATCCTCCTTTCTAATTAAAAAGCTTGGTAAGTTTTGAAACTTTGGTTTACCCTATACTTTCATCTCTTTTTCCAAATCTAGATTAAAAGGTTAACTTATTTGTTCGATTTTCGTAATTTTCTATCCCAATAGTTGTTCGTTACCTCAGGGCATTGTTTTGTTCAAAACATACTCAGATAGGTAACATTATTTTGATTGGGATGAGTGTTTTTGTGACAGGGGAAGATGAATCGCCCCTGCGGGCTGGGTGACTTTCAGATAAATGGTTCTGTCGATTCGGGATTTGCAGAAAATGGGGTTTTGTTGTATTATATAGTTCTTGTACAATTGGACGGAAGATAATATCAAGAAATTTGGATCAGATTGAGCGAGGCTGTCGCGGTCAGGA